AGTTGCACTATGTCTTTGCATCTTTGTAAAGTCTTCAAAATTTTAGGTTGAGGGTTTAAATCAATGATTTAAACATTGACACAATATGCCTGATATGGGGCATACCGTATCAGTATCGGCCCTACTTGACGCACAATAAACTACACTGGAGGGGTATCCTACTAGTCATAGGTATCGAAGCGTATTGGGTCGATACGAGCACATATCACCTTGTATCAATCCGATATCATGCAGTATGAACCGATATATGTGAGCTTGTTCATTAAAAATTAAAGATAAACACGCTAGGGCAACTCGAACCTAGGTCTCCCAATATGCCACACGCTTTTATCTTAGCACAACACGTAAACCATTAAGCCAACTTAGTTCTTGTATAAATAATTGAAATAAAATAAGTTTTCTTACATATAGCATCTACATATTACATGTACTCCAAATAAATAATATATTTATGTTCAACAATTTTAACTAAAATATATAAGAACAATATTCAAAATTAATATTTTATAAACCAACAAAATAAATAATCTATCATTTCTACATTAAAATCAAAAGATGATTTTAATCTCAAGAAATTTATGCAAATAAAATATTAATAGTAAAATAATTATTTTAATACTTAAAATTAACATATATTTAAATTATTAATTAATATTTTAATTTACAATACATTAAATAACAACGTATCAAATATTTACAAAAAATAAAAAATGTTTAGAAAATATTTAAGAATACAATATTAAATAGAATCTATAAACTCTACTAATCAACATTTATACCAAGAATGGCTTTTAATTTTAGAAAAACTATAGAAACAAAACTATCAATAATGTAATAACTATATATATATATATATATTATATATATATATTATGAATTATTAATTGATATTTTAATTTACAATTAAAAATTTAATATTTGGTTGACTTTTTTGTTAATGTAAAAAACTAAAAATAGTAAAGTAAAAAATAATTGATATAACAATTAAAATATAATATGTGCACATTTTATGTCTTGGACTCTTGATTGATGCATTATCAATAAAATTGTGTGATATTTATACATCATGCTATATTAATTGTAACATTTTATCATGAATACCATTAAAATGTAGATTTCTTATGTATTTATACATTATTTGTGACTATTTGATTTTAAATTTATTGTTTTTAATATATTTAATATATTAATTTATATGTACTTCCCCAACGTATCTAAGCGCTTTCATTTTTTTCATCTGTATCCATGTATTTCTAGCATATTCGTATCTAAATTGTCCGATATGATACTCAATACTGATACTTTGATCCTTTATTCAAATGACTAATGAACCATTGTGCCTAAACATTTAAATTTATATTATAAAAGACATGCTAGAATAATGATGGTCTATTTAAGTCTATAAACCATCACAGAAGCAAGCCTTTAAATGGAATTTTTAAAACATAATTACAAGTATGTTACAGTGCAATAAGGTCTATTGTAATACTATAAAACTCCTAATAGAAAACTTATAAAAAGAATCTTTAATATATTCTTATAGTCTTATTACAAGTATATGAAGGTCTATAGTAATTTTGTAGACCCTAATTATAAAATCCAACAAAAATGAATAAATAATAAGAAAATTAATATTTAAGATAAAATATAAAATATTCATAAAAATAAATGATTAAACTAACTACTTATTAAAATAAAATAAAATGTTTTTATAATAATAAAATATTAAATGGTTTGTGTAATTTATATGATTTAATAAATAGTTTATATAGTGATATTCTATACCCTCATTATAAAAGTAAAAAAATGAAATAACAATAAGAAAGCTTATATTTGAGATATATATTTATAAAAACCAAAAATAGTGAGATATTTTATATTATAATAAAATTATTACTTAAACTAGTTACTTTATTAGAATAAAATAAAATAATTTTCTTAATAATAAAAATATTAAATGGTTTGTATTGTTTATATAATTTAATTATAATTATTTATTAAAACAAAAAGATATGCATCATGAAAGATAATAATCTAGAAAGGTGCACTAATGTTTCTTTTATCATTTTACATAATATCATTGCATATTTTCACATATTTCATAATATTTTTACAATGCTTATAATTTTTACAATATTTTCATCCGACATTTCCAACATTACCGACATATGTCCTATATTTGGGTAAGTGACATTCCCATCAACATTGACATTTTAAACCTTAAGCTAACTTGTTTTTTAAATAAGTTGTTTGGTTGCATGGATTGCCAAGATCTATCACATCAGATTGTGACACAATATTCCTTAGCCACTTTTGAAGAACTTTATGGAAACGTATGATACTACCCTATAATATAATAATACATTTCACCCACAAATAGATGGGTAAACTGAAGTTGTTAACTGAAACTTGGTCAAATTGTTGAGGAGTTTAGTTGGAGATTACTTAAGTTGTGAGATCTTATCATACCACAAGTTGAGTTGGACTACAATGATTCAATTAATAGATTTACAAGGAAGACTCCTTTTGAGGTTGTGTATGGTCAGTCACCTAAAGGTGTTATTTATCTAATTCCTATAATAGGGTTGCAATGAATGAGTGATGACGTCGAGGCTTTAGTTAAATCATTCGAGAGATTCAAGAAAATGTATGATATAAGCTAAAAGAAAGCAACCAGATGTATAAAGAAGCTAAGGATAAGCATTTTCAGATGAAAGAATAACATGAAGGCTATCTAGTAATGGTTTATTTGTGGCTTGAGAGGTCTCTTGTTGGGACTTGCCACAAGTTGAAATAAGAAAAGACTAGGCCATGTCAAGTGCTGAGACGGTTTGGAGACAATGCATATGAAATTGAACTATCAACTGATTTATCCATTTCACCCATTTATTTGCAGCTTGAGAGGTCTCTTGTTGGGACTTGCCACAAGTTGAAATAAGAAAAGACTATAGGCCATGTCAAGTGCTGAGACGGTTTGGAGACAATGCATATGAAATTGAACTATCAATTGATTTATCCATTTCACCCATTTTTAATGTAGCGAGCCTCATATATTACCATAGAGATCTAGAACCCATAACAAAGGTTGAGCAAAGATAAGCACAAAGGGCCAACAGTTCTAATGAATTTGAATAAGTATGTGTAGAAGATGTTCGAGTCATCAGCACTCGAAATGGGGATTATTTTAGGTTCTTGGTCAAGTGGAAAAGGAAACCAACAATTGAAAACTCTTGGATTAATAAAGAAGAATTTATGAAGCTAGATGGAGACATGTGCAAGGCTGTATAAATTATTTCTCGCATGGGGTCAATGGGAATGATGAGGCAAAAAAATAAAAAATAAATAAAAACCAGTTTGGGTCCAAATTGTTTTCTATATTATGAAGCTAACTGGAATGACGAGGCAAAAAAAAATAGAAAAAAAAAAAGAAAAATGTGAATGTATTCTATATTCGTATGTTTTTGTAGTAGGAATGTAGGATTCCAAATTATTGTTTTTGAGTAGCTTTGTGGACAGTTTGGGCCTAGGGGTACTTTTATCAATTTATAATTCAAATTCTAGTTAGAGGAAATTGGATGCACATCTATTGGGTTTTGGTCTCTTGGGTCTTTTTGTAATAAAAGTTATCTTTTCGGGATTTTTTAAAATTAGTTTTGTTCTTAAGGAATTGTTTATGAAAGGGAAACATTCTAGGGATTTATGTGTAAATATTTTAAATGGCTTCTCCAAGAAGAAATTGAGTCTTATAAATGAAACAAAGATTTGTTTTTGTGAGGGTCTTTTGTGTTTTTTCTCTCTTGTTTGAGTTATAACTTAGTCGCAGCTAGGATTTTCAAGTATTGGGAACTTGGATTTTGAGAAATCAACCCATTTTGGCACCTTCCAATCCCTTTATCGCTATGAATCCACATGGGAGGTCAGCTTGATGCAATTGTTATTGTAGTGGAACTATTCCAAGAGTTCAACTAGTTTTATTGTTCTCAATTTGGTATTTCTTATTATTATTGTACACTTTAAGTGTTGCGGGTAATTTGTTTTCTATCCACATCACTAAAGGTGTAAATCGGGCCATGCTGAGCCAATACGACATGACCCATGCTTTTGGTGGGTTGTCATTTTGTATCGGCCTACGGGTTGAGACAGGTCGTGCTTCCCTCCCTTGGGATACTTCAGGGGGTTGGCATGACACAACCCATGGCCTAAGCCCACATGGGCCCATGTCATGTCATGTCATGCCATAGGCTAGGTTGGTCCATGGGCCGAGCCTTGGGCCAAGCCGAGCCATGACCCAAGCCAAGCCATGAGTGGTATATTTAAAAAAATAAAAATAAATTAACAAAATAGACAATTTAAAAGTTAAATTTTTATTTTATATGAATTTTGATGCATACAATTATTTATTATATAATTATTATATATGCATACCCCACGTTCCATCATACCAGGCCAGCCCAAAGTCATGTCGGGCCACGGGCGGCATGGCCCGACTTACAACTTTACACATCACTTTGCTTCTCTAGTCACAGACTGGCCATCAAAGTCATTCAGTAGCAGGGGGAAGGAAACTTTGGCAGTTAGTTCCTGCCTTATCTTAAACCATATGGTTGGAGCATAACAATAGAGTTTTTTTTTTTTTCAAGCATAGTTTGACCGGCTGGCCCTAATAGGTAGATTGGAAGATTGAGAGAAATTTGGTTGAATGGGCTTCTGTTTTGAAGGAGTTCAAAGACATGAATAAGAAGCAATTTTTATATCACTAGGAGAGGATACTTTTTGTGGATTTTGTGTTATAAAAATGAAACCAAGAGATTCAAGTGGTTAACAAGGGGAAGATTGTAAAAGTACAGTGGGTTGGGAGGTGAGACAATGCTATGGCTGATTGTTGTTGCCTTGGAGAGTATGCAACTCGTGCCTTACTAAGAATTCTTGTATCATTTCCGTTCTATAAATTAATATAATGAATTACTTATCAAAAACAAGTGAACAATGATCACACTATACACATTTTGTATACCTTTTGTAATTTGTATAAGCTGTATAGTCCCATACACGATCAGATCTTGTATCTTTTGAGGGAAGCTCTCCCTCCTTTTAAGCAATACAATACTATCTATACTTTTTCATTTCAACAAAAAAGAAAAAAAAAAAAAAGAATCAAACAGGAAAAACATATGGAGTCCATAGACAACTGGTCTAGCTAAATGATTATAATTAATATATAGAAATCGCTCATTTAGTAAGGTTCTCATACAACAGACGATGAAAATGGTGCATAGCCTTCTCAACAGTAGGAGCATACCTGCCTCTGTAATATGCTGGTGATTCAAGGCCCTTCTGAACACCTTCACACAAAGCAATATCTTCCATCTACAGTATCCGATACTTGCATCTGATTCAAACTTTCTAATTATATATATGCATTAAAAGGAAGAAGTTTTACTTTCATACCTGCACTCTTTCACTTTCTTCAAGACTTCTCTCAATGAAAGCTTCATCGTCCTAAGGAATTAGAAGATTTTTAGCTAGAAGAATTGAAATTATAAATATCTAAGGAAACATAATGGAAAAAATGAAGACTTCAAACTGTGAAATTCACTATATAATAAGAACATTGACTAGGAAAAAGATAAGGTGAAACGGAAAACTATCCAAAATAATACCTATTTCTAGTGATGGCAATTGGGCGGATTGGGTTGGGTTTGGTTTGGGGTTGAGTTTCAACCCAATCCATTTAACCCGCCAACCTGTTAATGACTCAATTATATAAAATTAAATGGGTTGGGTTCAACCCAAACCCGCTTTAATCCAATCCAATCCGTCCAAACCCCTTAATCTTATATTTATGTACTTAAAACAAAAAATTAACTCCTTTTTAACAAATAAGTTGGTCATAGCTTGGTGGTAATAGCAATTGCTATTTACACAAGTGGTGAAGGTTCAAATTACATTACATGCATGTTATTTTTATACAAGCACCAAAGCCATTTAACTACGTTCGGGTTTCGGATTTGACGAACCACATAGGTTCATACCAATCAGACCAATTTGAACTATCTAATTGGATTGCCTTCGAGGTAATCACATCAAGTTCAAGAGTGGTTGAACCGTTTAGATCCGAGTCAGTCCGGTCATACTAGACCCCGCCCGAACTGGTTCAGTCCGATCGGACCGGTTCGATCTGATCGAACCAGACCCCGACTAGGCTGGTTCGATCCGATTGGACCGGACTGGACCGATTCATCCAAATGGTGGATTGACTTGGGTCAGCTCATATCAGGTTTGTGCACGGGTTTGGGGCCGAACCGATTGGCCCAAAGCGGGTCAAAAGAAGTAAATTGGATCGGGCCAGATTCGGATCGGGTTGTGCAGATATGAACCAAATTGGACGATCCAAATCGAGCAAAGCAAGCGGGGCGGTTTAGGGTTCGGACTCCACCTGGTCTAACCCATTTTGGATTCAGGTCGAGCCGGATCAGCTTATATCGGGTTGAGCCAGGCTGTGTGAATAATGGCTGGACCAGACGACCCAAACCGGGCAAAGCAAGCGGTGCCGAGCCATCCCGTCCAAGGTCTATTTTGAATTCAGGTCAACCCGGATCGGTATATGTTGGATCGGGCCAGACTGCGTTGAACTAGTTTGGACTTGGGTCAAATTGATTTGGATTTATGTTGGGTGAAGTGTGTTGATTCAAGACAACTAAATTTAATCAATAATTAATAGAAAATTAATGCATTAATTATAAATTATTTAATTCAAATGAAGAAAATAAAAAAAAAAAAGGCTAAGGAATTAATACTAATGTCTGTAATGGTTAACCCAATGGTTATCCACAACCCAACCCATTTAAATGGGCGGGTTGGGTGACAGGTTGATCACACAACCCGCCAAGTAAATGGGCAGGTTAGGCAGGTTAGATTCTGGGTGGGTTGGGTGGGTTCAGCAGGTTGGGTGAAAATTTGCCACCCCTACCTATTTCACATAAAAGCAGATCTGAGAGTGATGTAGGTATGGAACAAATGAAAGAAACCATGGAAAAAGTCTAGATTTGTAAACCAATAGTAATTTCATAAGTTTTGGGTGATCTATTTCGGTTCAATTTGAGCTTTTATGAGTTATTTTCCAGGAATAGGGTTGATTATCTTGAGGGCCTGATAATTGGAAGTTGTGGTGTTGAATAATGCATATGGTATTTTTTCTTAATAATTGAATTATATTTTTTTTATCAAAAGATATAAACTGATACATGCATCCCAAGGGGGGCACGAGATGCAGCCACACCCTTATATAATTAAATCTGAAAATTGACAATTACAACACAGCCCAAAAAAGAGAATCCCTAGCAGCCCCTTGTTTGGCTAAAGGTCTGCCATTGCATTAGCCAAACTGCTCACCCATTGTATCCTAGTTGTCACATGCCCTGTTGTCGACTTCACTTTCTTTAGTAGATCCTTATCAGAGTTTTCAAGGCACCAAGGCGAGACTAGGCAACAGGGGGGTGCCTTGTCGCCTAGTCACCTAGGTAATGGATTTTTTATGTAGAAAACATAGATCCTAGTGTAGTTACCCGGATACCATAACCATATTTCCTAAATAATTATTCATGATTTTTCATAAGAAAAGTATAGAGTTCACGTTAAAGTATAAAAAATCAACATATTCATGAAAAGAAAATTTAAAAATATAGGGGCTGAACCCTTATTTTTGTTATAGGAAAAGAAGAAAAGTAGTAGTAGTAGTAGTAGTAGTAGAAGAAGAAGAAGAAGAAAATGTGTTGATTAGACGAAATTTTAAGTTCTTCCTTACTGGTTCAAGTTTTGATGTCCTTGAGGGTTCAATACAGCATTTAGCAATGTTTGTGTTGATTAAACCCTAACAAATAATAAAATAATAAAAGGAAATTAGTATATAAATACACAATGAATATTTTAGTTTAATAATGTCTATTTTATAATTATAATGCCAAAAAATAAAGAATAAAAAAAAGTATTTTATAATAGAAAGTACAAAACTGCTTGACAATTAGGCGAGGCAAGCCTCAAAGGCACCTTGTTGCCTAGGCATCACCTTGACAACTATGATCCCTATACCTCCAAGTAACAGAATCCAAATCCGGCAACCGCTCCACCACCACCACCTTAGAGTTGCCCTCTATGACTAGACTATTCATACCAAGTTGATTTGCAATCTGAACGTCTTGTACAACAGCTAGCAACTCAGCCCTAGTAGAATCTACTGTACCCATAGGCCCTGGAAAAAAGGATATGATAAAGCCGCCTTCATTTCTCAGGAGCCCACGTACTCCTGACAAGCCAGGATTACCCTAACTACTCCCATCAAAATTCAATGGTGGAGATCAATCTACAAGGGACCTATTTCTTCAGTAGAGCTATTGGCCACTACAAGCAATTCCTCCAAAGGTCATCAAATGTAAAAAGTTAAAAGGAGTTTACGGTTTTTAGCCAATGAATTACCCTTGTTAGAATGCATTCCTTTAGTTCCAATAAACTTCTCTTGAAAAATTCTAGTGTTCCTCTCTTCCCAAATTGTCCATAAAAAAACTGCTCTAATACACTTCCACATGATTCTTCCCCTTTTTGTGGACCAAACAAAGGTTCCAAATCAAACAACAGATTAACTTTGTGGCAAGTTCCTCCTACCCCCAAACAAAGCAAAAATCTAATTCCAAATAGCTACAGCAACCAAGCAGGAAATTAACAAGGGGTAGCAGCCCTCACTGTTTGCTTTGCAAAGAAAGCACTAATTAGGGGACAAACACAACAAAGGTACCTCTTTTGCAGGTTGTCCAAAGTATAATCTTCCCATAAAAGACTTCCCAGCAAAAAAAAAAAAAAAAAAAAACAATTTTTGGGGGAGTTGACCTAACCCAGACTTCATTAACAGGGAAAACCCTAAGAGTAGGATGAGAATAGAGGATAATA